GAGTTTTGATTTTTGGTATATGGTAAGATTTGAATGACATCTATAAGCATAAGGATCGGATAAGAAGTTCTTGAATTATTCAATTATTCAATTTTGTAGCTTGAATTATTCAAGCATTCTATTTTGATGGTATCAAACTGAAGGAATGCACAGCTTGCGGCTTCTGAGTATTCAAAGCAAAAGCTTTGTAGAGGGTAGCCTCTAGTCGGGCTCGACAGAGAACCGAATAAGAAACGACATTCGCAGCACTGTGACAGCGGCATAATTACGCGCATTTTCTTTTGGCATGAAAATGAACACCTCAAGGTGCATAATGCATAGAATTCAATACGAAGCCCAAACGAGAACAAGAATGGGAATGCAATGTGTGGTCGAGAGGGAAAGGAGGGGTCGTGTGTTGTGTGCTCGTCGTGCAGCTCATTTCGTTTTATTTGCAAATTTTATGCCACAAATACCACAAGAATTGCAACAGCCAGCGGAATGGAGTTGACTGCCGACTGTTGACTGCTGACTGCGGGCTGTGAGTGACGGCGACGACGAATGTGACACCCCCGGTTAGTTCAAGTGGAAATTTTGCAGCAGTTGCACAGTTGCATAGTTGCAAGTTGAAGCCCTGCTGCTGCTATTCTTTTGGGGCCAGGCACTTGAACATGATAGCAGAGCTTAGTTCGCCCGAGCCGGAGCCGGAGCCAGCCAAGCGAAGTTCTTGCAAAATAAGTGGCACATGCGCGCCGTTAAATTGCAAATGCCGACAGCAACTGCAAATGCAACAACTGCAACTGCAACTGCAACTGCTGCGTTAATGATACGCCTGTCTGGCCGGCAGCTACCTAGCCTGACATACGCAAATGTGCTTGACTTTCAGCCTCCAGGCGGCAACATATGTGCGGCTTATGTGGCGTATGCGTAATGTGTGTCTGCTAAACTTTTGCTGCAACGCGAGTTGGCCAAATGGTTGCGCTCCTCTTCAAACTTATCTTCATGGCCATCTGTGATTTGTGCCTGTCTGCTTCGATCTAAGCTATTCAGCGCTTCACGGTTCACGGTTCGCTGTAGCCAAGTCCGTCTGTACGTCTGTGCATCTTCTTGTCGAGTCTACAGTCCAGAGTCCATTCGAGCTGCAATTTTTTACTGCAAGCCATCGATTGCTTAAACAGGTTTACATTAAAATATATCTCGAAATTTTTATTAGCTGAACACATCTAAGAATATTTAATTATATATAATATATATTCCTTTATAAATTGTTATATACAATTATTTTTTTAAACCTGCCTCAAGACCGTTATAATTAGGAGAAAAGCTCATTTATAGAGAAATTGTCGTTGCCCTTGGTATGCACACACTTTTGTATGCTATATTAGAGTCCACAAAATATAATTTAGATCGGACTATAAGACCCGAACTTCATCGATAAGGCATTTACCATAAAAAGTGGTTAAGACAAGAAGAAATATATGGCGTTGCCTTTAACGAAGGACCGCATATAAAAAGTTCCTTTATTGCACTTTTATTTAACTTAAAAATTGAATTTTCCAACAAGTTGTAGTCAAAAACATTCCGCCAACATTTAGTGCAATCACAATGGCCATTAACTGAAGCTCATTTCATTCAGTTTCAGGCGTTTTTTCTCAAACATTATATTGCTTAAAGGAGGGAGGAGGGGGTGAGTCGCTAACGATGACATTGCCGTTTGGTCTATTTCTAATTTCCCTAACTCAATTGTCTGGCGTTGACAGCGAGTACGCTCTGCATAAACAAAATGACATGGCAGCCAATTAATGTCGCCCATGTCGTGCCCCCCCTCTCCTTCTGACCCAGCTGGGTCTCTGCTTTAAACTGTCGTCATCATCTTCTATGCCAAATGGGCAATTTGTTGTCGTTATAAGTCGCATTCTGTGCATTTTCATTGTTATTATTGCGCCGCTTTTATGCTGCCTGCCGTCTGCCTATTCCTGCCCTCCTGCTTGCCACGCCCACTGCTAGCTGAGTCAGTTGTATGCATATTAATTCTGATGCTGGCCTGGCCTGGCCTGTGCCCAAGAGCAAACTGCACATTTACATGCAATGCGGGCCCCCAATCGGCGGACGCGTCTCTAATTTGTGGGCTCTTTTCCGACCGAGACTAAGACTCGAGTGAGTCTGAGTATTGGCCTAATGTGTTGGCCAGGCCCACGCCCCGTCCTGCCTATCTGTGGTAATTGAGTTCATGTCATGTTCTGAATCTTGGCTTCATTATCAGCCAAGATTGCGCCTGCCGATGGCCTTTAACTGTACTATATATATGCAAAATGTGCAGAGAGCAGCACTTAAAATATTGCAGCCCAGCCCAGCCCTGCCCTACTCTTCCCTGTTCTCCCAGATAACAACAGGAACTGCTGCCGCTGCTCTCTGGAGTAAAGGCTTAGCACAGCACAGCGCAAAGCTGAAAAATTTCTATAAATCCGCACTTATTCCCAAAACAATAAAACGCGCAACAATTGCAACGAGTTCGCGCTTAAATAAGCAACAAAAAAAAAGGAGGAGCCATTCTCCACATTAGACTCTGCCATTATTTAGGCGACGGCAGCCGAAAAGCGTTCCAAGAGCGAGCAGCTACCAGTTCCAGCTGCAGTTGGCGAGACTCTGCCTAAGCCCACTTTGTAGTCATTTGCCCGGCAGCAGCAACAGCCAAGTCAGCAGCAACAACTGCAACGAGTAAGACTGCTCGACGAGAAGACACCCTAAACAGAGAGTCATTTTGATTTTAAAAAGATTCACGCATTCTTTTGTACATTTAAGCAGTAGGTGCAGGCAGACAGACATATTGGAATACAGACATTGAAAAAATTGGAAAAAAAATCAGGTAGACAGGAAGATCAGCAGACAGACAGATAGATAGAACGACAGCCATTCCTTGTGAAATTTTCAGGGCTTATATTTGGCATATAAATTGTGCATATACGAAAGGCTCTTCTCTAGGAAATAAGAATTTGTTAAATTTTTGGAAGTATATAATAATGCTTTCCCTTAAAAAATGGGAAATAATCTTAAGCCACATTTACTATACAAGAACTTGCTTATAAAGTTTGTTGCATATAGCACTTATAATCTTGGAGCTTCAGAACCAAATCTTTTCCAATTATTAACGGGAACAGGGTATCCCAAGTACAGCAACATTAACAACAACAACACATGGCACAGTGGGCAGCACAGAGAGCAAATGTATGCCAGCAATTTAGACGACGTCGTTGGCGCGCTTGCTAAATTACCAAAACAAAGGAAACGATAACTTGCAACAGTCGAGGACGAAGACGAGAACGAGGAAGAGGACAAGGAGCAGTGCTTGTCGCAGTGGAGAAGGGAAACAGCATAGGGGGACGCGTGGGCGTTTTCAGAAAACACAATAAAACTTATTTACGAGTCACGGCGGGGCAGCCAACGCGGGCTCCTACGTAGTTCATTGTAATGCACTTAACTGGGAGCGGGCACTGGAGCAGCGACTCGCCGAGATGCGCGCAAATGATATGCAAAAGTGACTGGCAAATGGGCAAAAGGGGTGAGCGGGGCAGGCGGCAAGGGGAAGCCAGTGGAGCAGGCGAAAGCAGTTGAACTGAACCGAACGTTTGGTTAAAGGGTAAATGAGTGCACAGCGTGAGGCGCATGAATGGAGGAGAGTTGGTCTGGACGGGGGCCAGGGTAATATAAATGAAAGCAACAGGAGTAGCAATGCCCACAACAAGAACAAGAACAACAAGAACAGCAAGGGTAGATACAGTAGATACAACGATATGGCACACACTGTGCAAAAAGTCAAGATGAGTTAATCGACAGTTGTATATTAAGATTTATGGCATATTTTATATGGTAGCTATTATGTTAAAGAGAGACATAATAAGTGTTGATATAGGGTATATATCTAGGCTAAAAGGCCAAACAAAATGTGCGTGGGCTAGCCTCTTAGTTGGAGGGCATTATCAGAGTTATTGCAGGGTATCACGCTAGGCTGCAAAGCCAGCCAAAATGTGCTTTGGCTCCACTTTCGGCTCCCATCAATGCCTTATCTGAAGGTTCGGGAAATAAGCCTTGAACCTTTTTCTCTAATTTAATTTACTTTATATTCAATTTTATATTATACTTTTTGATGTCATTTATTGCCAAGACAATTTATTAACTCTTCTCATTAAAAGTCAGCTAGTTAGCTGCCCAAGCGAATGCCCTGTAATTATATTAAGTACACTCGATCAATCAATCAGTCAATTTGCCATGTCTTATATCTAATAAACCATTTCTATCTCTCTCTTTGCAGGTAAGCACTCCAGTATTTCAGCCCGTATGCTACATATTACTGGTAAGCTCCACTTCTAGTCTTAACCTCTTTAAGTTTTAATGGACGCGCATATTGCGTATACGCCTACGCACCATTAGCGAATGCAGCGTGCGTTGCGTTTCAATTCAACTTACAATTTCAGTTGCAGCTTAAATTGCGTTTTGTATGCCCTTTCGTGGAATATTATCGACTTGTTATGCAGCTTGTAATGGGAGAATTGCTAGAGCAGACTAAATTTGCCGGATCCATATGAACTGAGATATCTTTAAAAGTAAAGACGTCTTCTGTCATAGTTTCTTCTATGGCAGCAATGTAATACAGTGCCTCGAAGAGTCTACATCTTTGCCAAGTATCTTAAAAACAGCCTCAAATAGTTTTATTTAATGACACTTTCATGATACTTGACAAAGATGCATTCTGTTCGAAGCACTTGATTATATTGTATTGTATATTATATTGTTTTACTTTTCGAGATATCTTAATCAAACTTTTTAATAAAATGCATCATTAGGCTTTTGACCCCGGCTTAAAACTAGAAACGCCTTTCATTAGTTCGGTTAAGATTTGACATTCGGCATTCTTTTCACAATTATTTCTTCTTATTTTCGAATTAAAAGTGCAAGTCGTTTTAGTTCAAAATTGCTTGCTTCTCAATATATGTTTAAAATCTTAGCCTAGCACTTACCATATCATCCACATCCATTGTTATCCATTGCTCTAGTCGCTTGTAAATAGAGTTTTTTCTTTAATATTGGAGGGTATTTGATATTCGGCACTCTTTAGAGAATTTTCATTTAATTTCTTAGTTTTTGGAATTCCTAGCCGCCTTAAATATATTATCCATTGTTAAAATCGCTTGTGCATTGAGTTTTCTTCCGCATAATGTTAGGGCATTTGATATGCGCTATTCTTTTGACAATTGTTCTTCCATTTTTTCATTTTCGAATTCCAAGTTTAAGCCGCTGTGATACAAAATTTGCTTAAAGCCCTGCTTCTTCATGTATTTTAACAATCTTAGCCTAGCACTCACCATATGATACAGCTTCCATTGTGTGTGTGTGTGTGTGTGTGTGTGTGTGTTAGGGCGTTTGATATTCGTCATTCTTTAAAAAATTTTCCTTTCTTGTTTTAATTTTTATTTCGGAGTTTTGTGCAGTGCAGTTGCAGTTGAAGTTTGCCCGAGAGCTGTGCCTGAGCCTGAGCTGGGCAGTATTCGCCTCGTCACAGTACGTAAAGTTCTCAGTAGTCAGTGAAATTGCGCTGCTTGTTTATTGTTGCAGTTGTTGCTCTTTTTGTAGTTGTAGTTGTTGTTGCTGTTGTTGCAGTTTCTGTTGTGGCTGCAACATTGCTGCTGTTGCCTATATTATTGCGCTTCATTGTTGGCTGCATGAAATTTGTGTGAACCGAGCGTCTCGGCAGCGTATGCTGTGCATCTTGGCAGCGCCAAGGAACACAAGGAACACCCTACCGGGCTTAAATATTTATAGCTTGCCATACTTTGTTCGATTATTTATGCCTGCGTTTGTTTGTGAGCCCAACCGACGACGACGACGACGACAACGACTGTATACAAATATGTTTGCACATGCAAATTGCGCCGCAGGAGGACGTCAAGTGAAAAATAGTCGTCTGCCTCATTAAAAACGTTGGAAAATAAGCGGCCAGCTCGAGTATGTAATGAGTTGTAAGCCATTGTCAGCAAACCGGCCGCGTTTCAGCCCATTTCAGCCAGATGACCTGCCAATCCAATAATTGCTGCCCGTTTAAGCTATTTAACTGTTGACGTCGCGTTGTTTTTCTTTCAATTTTTTTTTTTGCTGCCGTTCATCATTGAGAATTCCGCATGGTTTTTATGCCCGGACAGGGTTATATTGGTTTTGTGGCTTTGTAGCTGGCACAAGAAGGTAGCTTCGAGAGCATGAAGTATATATATTCTTGGCTTGCAATCAGTTGACGACTTTATCTTAAAATGTCCGTCTGTTCTTATGAACATACTTGTTGAACTGAGAGACTTTATTAAGCAGAGCTGTGAAGCTTGGGTCCTCCTTGTAAGCTAGAAGATAAATAAATAGAAAACACAAAAATAGAAATAGAAATATATACATTTATATATAAAAAGACTCCTAACTAAATAATAATACCTTTAAGTGTACTCACCGACGTTAGAGGAGAAGCACGCGAGGTGTCCAGTAGGGTTGCTTCTTTTAAACTAGATAACAGATAGAAACAAAGAAACAAAGAAAATGTTAATCAAATAATCCATGAAATCGAAAATATTACTTTTCTATCATATCTCGTACATTATAAAGGTAAGAGGTAGATTCTACTTTAGTAAGCAAATAAAGCAGAATATATCTTTCTAATGGATATTTTCAATCTCCGCCCAAAATTTGAAAAGCTTTGTTAGTGGCTTTGGTATACATAGATGTTTGTATACCATATTTAGGCCCACAAAATTACATACAGATCGATTTACAAGCAACAAAGTTAACAAAGGATGAATTTCCTGTAGAGTGCGGATAAGGAAGGAAGAAGCAAAGCCTTAACATAAATACCCCTGTGTGAGCATGTGTGTCTGTGTGCATGTGTCCATGTGTGCAAAGAAAATAGCTGAAAAAAAGTAACCTGGAAAGCAGGAACCTGGAAAGAAGGAAGCTGGAAAGTTTCTAATGGCAGGGTACATGGTATCGTCCAGTCGTGCACTCCCAACTCAGAGCCCTCTTGATTGTATTGAGAATTTCGAATGCCGCCGAATTGATTTTGTATATAGCCTAAGCAGATATGAGTTTAGTGTAACGGACAAAGCTTTAGTTGGGCGAGTGCAAAATATTTGGAGCAGACTTTTGGCTGTAACTGTAAACGCTAAGCAGATTGGCTAAAGAAGTTTCTGCCAGCCGCTAATTACCAGCCACAAAATTGACGCATCATGCCCAGCATTGGCTGCCATGGCAGCTATATATATATATAATATATATATGGTCGTCATTATACCCCCGTCTCCTCCCCCCCCCCCCCCCGCGCCCTTTGCTGTTTGCATGTGGCAATTTTTGGGGCAAACTTCGCTGCGGTTAATTAGTTGGCAATATTGAGCGTTAATGCGAAATAAATCGCAACAGCTGAAGAAAAAGTCTGCATTTTGGTTCCAGAAAAAGTGAAAAGAAGAAGCAGCTGGAGCATAAGAAGAAGAAGAAGCAGACGCTCACTTAATTATGTTGACGCGAATGCCAAAGACGAAACAGCGCAGGGTCTACTATGTATAACCAGGGCCAAGAGGCACCCACACGCAGGCGAGAAATCAAAAGCGAGAATTGGGGAAATGGAGAAGCGAGAACCGAGAAGCGAGAAGCGTTCTCCAAGCCCGAAACGGTAATCATTATTAATGATGACTTTTAGTTTACAAGCTAATTATTTGTTACTGTTAGCCGAGATGGAGCTGGAGAGGTAGAGAGATTCTCACCCCGGGCATTGGCATTGGCTTTGGCGTTGGCGCGATTTTCGCTTTGATATGATTTTAATTAATTTATGATATCGATGTCAGCTTTTGATGTCTCACTAATCACATTGGCTGTGTGTACATATTTTGCATATTAATTTGGACTTATGCAATCAGCCAAAAGACTTTTCAGTCCAAAACAAAATGCAGTGATTGATCTTTTGCCGGGCCATTTGGCAACATAATTGCTGACCATAATTGCCATATATGTAAATTTCATAAGCCGCTTAGACCAAACAGCAGCAACAACAGCCACAGATAAGAAGCTAAGCAAATATGTATACAACACCAAAATAAATGAGTCCATTGATCCATACGCACACACATCATCCACATGAATATGCAACAATACAAAACGCCCACATCACAACCAAAGGCGGTCATAAATTAAAGAGAGAGAAAGAGAGACAAAGACGACGCCAAAGCCAAATCATAAATAAGATGTGGAAATCAATTTGAAATCGGGTCACAAGAATTGCGCAGACGCGACGACAGCGGAAATGAGGTGCGAAAAAAAATTCAAATTGACTATTAGGCAAAAGACACAAGAAAATGAATGCATATCGAATAGACAAATACAATTGTTTAAATTGCCTGACTGACTGATTGACTGACTGACTGAGAGAATGATTGAAGAGCATTCCTCAGGGCAAGCTGCAAAAGAATTAATTAAAATAATAATTAATTAATTAAAAGTCGAATTAGATAAGCCTCCCACATACAAAACTGATTGAACCGCATGATTGACTGACTGATTGATGAGTGACAAACTGAATAAACTTAGTCGTTATAATTGCTGGAAACCTTTTTGATATGTGTTGGGAATCCGATAAGCTTAAAGCTCTGTTTCAATAAATCGCATAAAAATTTATTAAGGCACGTATTTTTCTCACTGTTTGGTAAATCAATCCGTCAAGCAGTTCTTGTTTGAAATTTAATAGAAAAAAAATTAATTAGTAACTGATATGAAAAGATAACTTGCAGTTTCTGCCCATGTAATACTCTTATGAGTCTGAAGGCGAATACAAATCAGATCGTGCTAATCAATTCGCAAACAAAAGACAATCGCTATGACGAAATTATCATTGTTTTTATTATTTTCTTCGCTTTTTTTTGTTTTGCTCTTGCCTTTTAACAATTACGCAAACAAATGCACGACGACAGCGACAACAACAACAATGGGCCAAAACTATTGCAAATGCGTGGGAAGAAACATAAAAAAGCCAGGCAAAAGGTAAAAACAAAAGCACAAAAACAGTAGCGCAAATAAAAGAAAAATTGGACAACAAACAAAAGATAAACAAATAAAAAATAAATATTACAAAATTACACTAACAACACGATGACAACAAATTAGATGCAGCACACACTGAAATTAAATAAAAATGCAATTAAAATGCAAGGCAGCCCGTGCAGCGGGCGCCCTATGCAGGTGCTGACGAGGGGCCGGGCGGCTGTACGCTCACGTTGGGAATAATTAAAACCATTTTTTGTGTGACACAAAACAAAAGCGAAAGTGTTGAAATATTTATGCAGAAAATGCACAAATAAAAACAAAAAACTGACAACAAAAACGCGAACAACAACGAAACGGCAAAGGTAGCAAACGACAAGTGTCACCAGCAACAACAACAACATCAACAAGCAGAGTCTGATATCCAATTTGAGCAACAACAAGTCGAATTTTAATTCGCATTTTTAATAGCAGCTACGCGCAAAGTGTTAAGTTTTCTATACGCGAGGGTTGCTTGAGATGTTAATGTGCTGCTTTAAGATATTTTAAAGTGTTGCCAAACTATGCAATAAATAACAGGCTTGAAGCGAAATAATGCACATTAATAAATATTGCTAATAGCCACCCAATAAACATCTCTAAAAGCTGACAACTGCCAGCTGGTTTTCATTTTGTGTCTTATTTATAAGCTTTTGATGTTATGGGGGGACAACTGCGACTTCATAGATATAGCACATGTTTCTGGACAAGACGACAAGCTGTATTCTACCATTAATTTATTACTTTTGCATGTTATTTTGCACTAGTAACAAATGAAATAAATAAATATAGAACCTTACGGTTACGTTTAGGGAACCAATACACGCACTCTTACGACAATATATTTGCAAAGCACACTTACATAATTAGTTTGTTGTTGATGCTTTTCGATTACACTGACGTTCTTCCTCGTAATAGCTCAATTTTTGCCCAAAAGAAAGTTTCTTGTATATATATTGTTTAGGTATATGTATACATATTTTTTAGACAAACTCTTAATGTCAACCGCGTGTAATTTGTATTTTAAACGTGCCATGAATTTTGTGACTAATTTTTGCCTTTATTGCAAGTGTTGCTGTTGTTGTTATTGTAGCTGTTGTTGCTGCTGTTATGGCGCATGCGCCACCGCCAGCTTTGGTCGTTGTTGTTGTCGTTGTTGTTGCTGTTGCTATTTGTCTGCCGAATGTCTGCCCATCGGCTCACTAGCCTCTCAACAGCCTGCAATTGTTATTGTTGTTGTTGTCATTTGGCAGTAATTAAAATGGAAATTGCATTCGCAGTTGGCCAGACGAACAATGCGATGTGCGAGTATTCGCATAACGAGCACCGAGGATGCTGGCCAGGCAGGAGAAGGTGCAGGAGGATGAAGAGGAGGCAGTTCACAGCCGTTGGCTCAGTTAAATGCGCTAATAACTTTATTCAGTTGTTGTCGACGCTGTTGCTGTTGCCGCTGCTGCTGCTGCTGCTGCTGCTGTTGATGTTGGCATTGCAACATTTTGCCTCTGATTTCTATCAGCAGCAGCAACAGAAAGCAGCAGCAGCAGCCAACTTGAGACAATCGCACGGAAATTGCAAATGAAGTTGTTGTTGTTGTTGTCGCTGCTGATGATGCTGTTGATGTTGCTGCTGTTGTTGCCGCTTATTATCAAACATTACTTTTATTGCCGGCAACAACGGCAGCTGAATAAGTGAACTTTTTATGCGGCAACTAAATAAATTTATACTTCAGTCGCCACGCAAAAGTTCATGCGTGCGAAGGGCAAACAAAGCTCTTATCTAATACACTCACACACTTGCAATTGTTGTGAGTTTTACGACAACAACAACACAACCACAACAACACCAATGGCAATGACACTGACGATGGCCGGCACAAATAAATAAATAGGAAAAAAAAAATAAAAGCGAAAATTATTGTATTTTCATGGCGCTTTAATTTAGTTTCAAGTGTAAACAACACAGCGAATGCCATAAAAGTCTCTGAGCGCGACTCTGGGGGCAGGGGTAAAATTGCCCAAAAATTGTTGGTAATATGTTTCAAATTCGTTGGCATGTAAAAGTTTGTCGCCAAGTGCCAATCAAATTGCTTTTGCCCGCTGTAAAAACCAATTCGGGCCTCATTTGCTTTTATGCAACTGTCAATTTAGGTCCAACAACAATTCGGGTCAATTCGTGCAAGTAAACAAATCGTGTGACAACCTAAAGCTAAACAGACAGTAGCTCGAACCGGTTGACTTCAACGTGCAGACATACATTTATTTAAATTTGATCGCAAGAGCATTCAGTCGAGTTGACACATGTCTGTTTATTTGGATCAAAATAATCAATATATATGCCTTGTGGAAGTTGGAAAATGGCTTCTTGACATTTCCTTAAAAATAAAAAGTAACAGTGTCCGCACTAGATTTTTAGGATCTGAGATCGAGATGTTCATTCATACGGACGGATAGGCAGACAGACGGACAGACGTGCATGGGAAGACCGACTCGGCTATTGATGCTAATTATGAATATATATATACCTTATGGGGTCGGAGGTGTTTCCTTCTCCCTCTTACATACATTTGCACAAATTCATTATACCCCATCAGTTGGTGGAATTCGCTTTTTTAATGAATATAGCGGTTTATGGCTCAAACCCTCATCATATATTATCAAAATTATAATCAAGAAATTTAATGAATCAATTATTAATTGCCCGTTCAGCTGAACATATTGCAAGCCGCTCATTTTTGCTTGCACCAGATGCACATTTTATTTGATATCTGCCCAAAATTAATATCTACCAGAGCAAGCGCAAATGCAATGCTTGGTCTCACTTATTTTTACTTTGCGTAGTAACCTCTGTATTTGTGAAACAAACAAACAATTAATAAATTAATCAAATTTTTTAAGAAAGAAATCGAAACCAAAAAAATAGCTGAAATAGTGCAAAGCATAATTAAAATTTTTACCAGAAGATTAACCAAAATCAGGCCAAATATTCGCTATAAATCATGGCAAACACTTTTCGATTAGATTAATTTTGTCCTGATTCTTAAGACAATAGTAATGCTCCAATCGACCTCGCCAGTCAATTTCACTATAATTTTGTAGAAACCTTCAACCATAACTTCTGGTAAGACTCCCTCTGAGAATGCACACAAATGAAATGTGTACAAATTCCTGGGCCATGGGTGCAACACGTCGCCCTCAATTTTGGGTATGTTGGAACAAAGAGATAAATTGGGATACGCAATTTCATCATAGGGGGTCTTTGCAGCGGGGTAAGGTTTCTTGGGCACAGCAAAGGGCAACAGTTTGTAGTCACTTTCGCTGCCGCTGGCACTGCGATAGATCAACATCTCAATCTTAAGAGTATTCGAAAAATAATAATTATTCTTAGTATAAAGTTTCATTTCCTGATAACCCACCATAGTTGTGTTATCGATATCATACTGCCAGTCGATGGTGCCCGAAAAGCCAATTTCGTGGCGACCCACGCGCTCTACACGCATATCTATCTTCACTTTGGTTTCATCCTCACTGTAGCCATCGATGGATATCGGATCGTATTCCCAATTGCGCTGCAGAAGTATCCCGATAAACTTTACGAATAACTAATTATCTATTTAAGGATTAACTAACCTTGCCGTCGGAGCATTGAAGTACGAAAAGCAGGAGCAAGAACTCTCTAAAAACCGATTGAGATAACATTTTATTGTTTCCCAAAAAAAACACTTCTGTTTAGTCGTGATTTACTGCACAGGCCTTATATAGACCCTGCTCTGACTGGCTTATCTTTTGCGCTAATAACAGCTTACAAAATTTGCTTTTAACACGCCATAATCATGTCCAATAATTAGACACATAAGTAAAAACATGTTGAAATAATTATTTTAAATTATATCAGGTAAGAATTGCAATTTATAGACTGCTTAAATTTGTTTATAGAAAATATTGGGGAGAATTTTAATAAGTATTTGGGCTCTGCATCTCGTTAGGTATTGAAATTCATATTTCATTGCATACTTTCGAGCGCAGCGCGGATTATGGACTGCACTTTATTTTTAAAAAGAGTAAAGGGTATTATGATTTCGTGCAATTGTATGCAATAGGCTTTTACATAAACGAAGCAGCCTCTGCAAAATATATTGTATATATATTCTTGAGCACGACAAGCTGAGGCAATCCAGCAAAATTTGTATTTTGTAAAAGCTAAAGCTTTGATTTCTTTTTTTTTGTTGCCAAATGTTAGTCTTCAAAATTTGATTAAGATCGCACTATGAGCTCCGATGTTCAATGAGATTAAATTTCATCCAACGTGCGGCTAACACAATGTAAGCTAAATTAAATTAAATGCAATCTCAATCTACTGCTAATTAGCAAACTCTAACTCAAGTTTCGGATAATCTTGTTCTAATAACCCAAAACAATATTATAGAAAAGAAAGAAGCAACAATAGTTTGTTGTATTTAGAATTCTATGGAATTGCTTTGTGTGTAAGCTCTGTCTCATGCCCGCACACGGCGCACGAGAACAAGCCCCGGAATGGTCATTGAAAAAAGAACTTAGTTTTTTGAATAAGTTTAATAAAATTTGGCTGCTTGTCGCCGCCGGGCAATCAACAGGCCATTATTGTTAACGGTTCTGCCATTTTTGGCGGAACAGAACCCATGTATCAGGCCATAAAACGCGTCAATGAATGGTCACAAACGAGCCGCTCGCTGATCAAGAATTATTTATTAATAAACATAAAGCAGCAACAATGCGCAACAACTATAATAAATACAGCGCTGCCAGCCCTCCTCCAGCTGACGGCATGCCAATTAAAATTCAAGTCGCATCGCCGCTTAATGTCATAATTATGAGCCAACTAAAGAGATTTACGCATTTTGTTTCATAACTTTGCCAAAAATGATTCGCCCGCAACCTGAACAGGGCCCAGACCCAGACCCAAGACCATGCCTGGAGCCTGTGCGTGTGAGTCTCTGCCAAAAAGTTGTTGTCTGGCATCGATTATAATATTCAGAGAATATGTAGGGGCAGCTGGGGGAGGGGGCAGAGGGGGGAGGGACAGCTAGAGAAGCGACAGTTGGCACGTCAACTTTCGGAGCGTGAAAACAGCATATATGTATATATAAAGATATATCCATATATATGTAAATATATAAATAATTAAAGCATCGTGTTGGGCGCGTCACGTAACTGAAATAGCAAAATTTAATTAACCAAATTAGCTGCAAAATTAATCAAATATTGTATGCCGAATAAAAAGGGAAATAGCACAGAAAAAAACTTATGACACGAATTAACAATTAATCAACTGCTAAACATTATTAAAAACAAGCGAACTGTAAAAAAAAATTAAACACAAAATGAATGTTAACAGAAAATGTACTAAAAGCCACAACAAATTTTGCCTTTGCCTAACTTCATTCGTGCTCTGCTCAGTCAGGAAATTCTGACATTAAATATTATTCTTTAATAACAAATATTAAGGCACAATTGACCTGGTAAATCGCAAAGGGATAAACCGCAGCCACAGCGACAGTTGCCAAGGCAAGGAACGTATCTCGGCGCTGGGTGCAGCGTATCAGCCAGTCGAGCTCACCCAATCAGAGGACTCTTACTTGTTTTAAATACTTTTGGGCAATATTTGCGGCTGGATTTAAAAGGCAGAAAGCCAATTGACCTGCCGATTGTGTCGCACGGAAATTTAATCAAATGAAAGCTAGAGGCAATTATGCTTTAAATACAATTAATTAATCATGAAAACACAAACAAACGCACGCACACACACATGGTTATTTATCCGCAGCAACTATGCTGTTATTTCAAGCGTACAGTGAAGCTTTTTTGTTGCTGTTGTTGTTTCCACTGTTGATGCGGCCGCTGGGCTAGCGCCACAATATTAACATATCCTGCGTGTTTAAGTAACGCATAAAATTATATCCTGATTGAATTGACCAGCATCGAGTCGCGTACGCTCGTAAAATATGCGTATTCCAATAAAGTTGCCAACGGTTTTTATTCCTGATACCCTGTGGCAAATGAAGGGCAAAGGGTATATTACAGTTGTCTACGGACTCTGCCTTCATCTTTATCCATCTCTATCATAGGAGATTAAGATCCACAGAATATGCCTCTATAATTTGTCGTGCAACATGCGCAATCGATAAATATCGATTCATTATGGCTTGCATTCGAAAGAGGCTGCATTAATGCAGTTATGTGTTTGTTTCATATTATAGGGTAACTGCTAGTCGCATATACTCGCTGCATAGCTCGCCGGCATTCGTGCTGCGGACATTGCTGAGCGCCGAGGGCAGCCACCTCTTGCACCTCGTTTGTTGCCGCCTTAAAATACGCGCCTACGCACATAAATCACGTGCGTGAATCTCTGCAGCTGTGTATGTGGATTTGCTGTGTGTGTGAGAGTGTGTGTGTGTGTGTGTGTGTGTGTGTGTGTGTGTGGGTGTGTGTGTATGTGAGAGTGTGAGAGCGCGTTGTGTACGGTTATTCCGGCAACTGTTGGCAAACGGAAAATCAGCCGACGCAGCTTCTGGCTGCTGCCCGTCATATGTCTGTCTGCGTTTGTATGTGTGTGATGTTTGTGTGTATGGGTATTTGTGTGTGTGTGCTGTGTATTAACGGCCTATCGGCTGCTGCATATCCGGCTGGACACCGGCTTCAGTTTTATTATTATTGTTGCCGCTGTTGTTCATGTTGCTGTTGTTGTTATTGTTGTTGCTGCTGTTGTGCACACACGTGTCAATGACAGCGGAGGACACATTTTCAGTGTCGTGTTTAATTAGACTGGCCCGAAGGTGCACGGCCAGCGCCATTTGCACAGCACGGTTATTCATGGCGCTTTCCCGGCTGCATATTGTTCAGGTACCCAGCACTTGTATACCCTACCTATAGATACATTAGTTGGTCTGTGTTGATTGCAATGCACAGAAAAAGATGGGAGAAAATTGGCTATGAAATATATAGCTCATTGTTTCGATAGACTTTGAACCTTTTATTTGAAGCATGCATCTACGACCTCACGAAGTATATCATTATTATTCCTGATAAGTATCCACAGCCGAGTCGATATAGCCATCTGTGTCTGTACAAAGTATTCCAACTTTATTTAAAGCTAATATCAGACAGTCAGAGTTGGCTAGTACGGACATCTTTATCATGTAGTTCCCAAAGAAGTGATCAGTCGAAAGTGAATTGCTTGGCTAAACAACTTTCTGATTATACTCTCAAGATATCTCAAGAAAATATTTGAAATATGGAAAGGTGGCCAAAAACAGTACTAGATATCTTTAATATATATTTCAATCAATATTCGTGAGATAGAAGATCTCACTTCTTTGGCCCGCACAAGAGTATTTGATTATCGGCCATTTTTCTCTTGTCTTGTTGTGCGTCCATCTCGTATTTATCGAGTAAAATCGGATAATCAGCGACCTGAAGGGTAGCAGCTACTCCAATATGATGTACATGCGCGATATGGGAACTCTATCGTATTATAGTCTAGGATAACGCGTGATTTCGTAGCAATTAAGTGCGCTTTGTAGTTGCTTCACAGCTTTTACCCTGTTTTTCACTTTTCCAGCCCCGGATTGACTTTAAATCGTTTGCGTGTGGTACATTATTATAAAACTAACAAAATGTGTTACCACAAATGGGCGTGTGCGCGGGCATTAGCATGCTTATTAATGAATAACATGGCCGTAACTGGCGTGATTTGTTTGGCTAACGCCTCGGGCGTTGCGCATACGTCGCGTGTGCCACAGCCAGACTTGGCTTTAAAGAGCACACACATTTTCTATTATTTTCTATTACTATTATATATATATTTTTTTTGACAAACTCATGGACTCTAATGGCCAATTTCTTATCATTTAAAACGCATAAGTGTCTGGCAACGTTTATGGCCGCTTAAAGCCGAATCGAGAGGGAAACAGAGACTGGGAAACAGACGCAAAGCGCAATCCCAGCCTATAGGCTCGGCGAAGAGCTGCCAATAGACGAGCTTGCAATCTCCAGTTCCCCATTTGCCATATGCCATATGCCATGCCAGAACTCAACTCACATGCCGCATGCTCTGTCATATGCGCAAATTAGTCGTTAGTCGACGTTTGCAACTCGCGCGAGTTTAATGACTTTGGCGTTAGACGTTGTCCCTGTTGTTGTTGTTGTTCCTGTTGCTGTTCTTGTTGGGGCTGCTGATGAGGCGCACGATAATGGCCCTTGATGGTCGCGTTCTTGTCAAAGTCAACGCGAAATGGCAACATCAGGGGGGGCCAGTCACAAGCGGGACGTGGCCTGGGCAAAGGTTGAATCCTCGCCTGCAGCTGGGCGGCCGACAGTTTCATGCACCTCAATGCACAGCCACAGTTCCGGTTGTGCTTATACCCTGTACTCAGCTAAAGATTTTAGCAGACTGTTGAGATGTCTTGCAATTGCATGTAACAGCATCTCACATTATGAATAAATATTTATTAAAAAATACATGTTCATGCTCCCATTTCGTAGCATATTTATTGTAAAAAAGTTCGAATCGTTATCCTTAGCATGTAAGAGCTCGAGGATTCTGTCAAGTGATATTTAGCAGATATTTAGCTGCTTTGAGTAGCCCGTTGGTCTAGGAATCAACATGAAGTTTAGAGATCGAGGCCCTGCGTAGAAAAATTCATTTCTTTAAATTTACCTTGTTGTCTTAATCCCATTTAAGATCCTATTCTTAATTCCTT